TACTACTTCATGGGTGACGTGGAAAGCTATTGCCATACGCCCGCTCCTGACCGCCGAGCGGCTCGTAGGCTTTGTGCGTGACGGCGAAGAAAGGAGGGACGCGTTAGGCGGAGCCAGCTGAAAATCGGCCGAAATGTGCAGTTCTTGCCGAGCTCTGTCACAGACGATCGGGTCAGGGTCGTCCTCGTGAAACAAGTAATCGCGATGATCGAGCGATCGTCCGGCAAGCTATACAGAATCGTTCTGTATCTGCACGTATTATTGCTGGCCATATTAATCATAATCGACGACGTCCGATCTCGACTTCAACGATAAGAAATCGTTTAAGAGAAGCCGGATTACACTCTCGTCAACCAGTGCAGATTCCATACCTTACACGCCGTCATCGTCGCCTGCGATTAAATTATGCTTATTCTTTAATCAATAGACGACAGAGACAATGGAATTCTGTATTGTTTACAGATGAATCAAGATTTTGCATTTTTGGCAATGACAGACGAGTCCGAGTTTGGCGACGTTTAGGCGAACGTTATTCAGAAAATTGCAATAGATCGATTCGTGCTTTTCACGGTGGTTCTGTAATGGTATGGGCAGGAATATCTCGATTTTCACGAACACCTTTAATAGTCATCCCCCCACCGGCATTAACTTCTAGACGATATGTTCATGAAATACTGCAACCGTATGTTTTACCAATTAAAAATCGAATGGGTAGACAGTTTCGCCTATTGCATGATAACGACCGCACACTGCTCGTTACACTCAGCAGTTCCTGAGGAATTATCAAATCGAGACGTTATTACATCTGCCAATGAGTCCCGATTTAAATCCGATTGAGTATGTTTGGGATATGTTAGAACGCAAAGTACGCGAAAACTATCCTAACATCGCTGATCTAGCTTCGCTTGTCAGAGCTCTTCGGCAAACCTGGCAGCGAATCCCTCAGGCAGCAATACGTCGTTGCATCAATATGCGAAACCGATTGCGAGCAGTCATTTTAAATAGAGGAGGAAACACGCGTTATTGAATTCACTCACTCACACACATCAACACACACACATGCACGCACACACACATGCGCACACGCACGCGAGCACGTACACATTACACATACACATACAAAATGAAGCATAAATCCGACTGTGCAACCTCCTCGTGGTATGCTTTGGGTAACGCTAATGCCAGCGGTTTTTAAATTCTTTCAAATTTTGGTGGAGAGAAAAATTCGAACAATTTATCCTTAGAGAAAGCTCTTTGTTAAGATTTATTATTAATAAATCTGTCTATGTAGTGAGTGTACTGAAAATCAATTTTTAACATTAATTGATTTTATTTTCCATTTTTTCTTATTGAAATTAAGCAACTTTTTGAAGATTTGACTTTTCAAACATAGTGGCCACCGTGAAAAAAATCTTGTAGCTATTCGCCGATTTTTTGTCAAATTGAAGGTACTTAAAAGTAGAAAAAAACGTGAAGAACAAATTTTTTGTTGTTGCTCTATACATTGTTTTTTAAATCAAAATGAAAACAGAAAAAGTCGGTAATTTTTACATTATTTTCATTCATTTGTAAACAGTCTATGTTTTCGTAAAAATTTTGGTAATTACTCCGTTTGATAGAGCAAAGTTTCAGCTTCAATAATCTTTTTTTAAAATTGCGGTACGATTATTTTTAACAGAGTTATGAACGATTAAAGTTAACTTGCTCATTTTTCATTTAATCGGCGATAACTCAGTAAGAAAAAATCGTAGATACATTTTTAAAAAAGGATTTTGTTAAGAAAACTTCAAGCTTTTACACTGGGAAGGTGAAAAATTTCGTAGATTTTTTTTATACTCGTAGCAGGTCCGCAAAGTGAGAAGAAAATTTATAATTTTGTCCAGTTCGCAGTTTGCTACATGTAAAAATTACCAAACTTACAGAAACTTAAAAAAAGTAATGAGCTTTCGAAAGTAGAGATTTCAAGCTTTAAAATCCTTTTTTTAAATTTAAATTTGGTTTATTTTTAACGAAGTTACAGCTGACTGAATTTTGTCAATTTTTTAAGGAAATTTAAGTGATCCTCTAATTGTTATGAGGAGTGTATACGATTAAAATACATACGATTAAAATATATGACTATTAAACATATATACAATTGAATATTATTTAACGCGCAACGGTATGTAAAAAATGACCTGTAAGAACGACCTGTAAGAACGACCTAAGAACGACCTAAGAACGACCTGTGAGAACGACCTAAGAACGACCTGTAAGAACGATCTGTGAGAACGACCTGTAAGAACGACTGTAAGAACGACCCATGTGAAACGACCATTTAAAAAAAAAATTACGTATCTAAAATAAACGGTCTTACAAAAACATGTGCGTTTAAACTAGAAAATTTATTGTAAGAACGACTGTAAGAACGACTGTTAGAACGACCCATATGAAACGACCATTTAAAAAAAAGGAGCGGCAAAACAAGACTTATATATTCAAACTGATGCGTTCTTCAACTGACATTACTAAAATGTTCTTAAGATTTCATCTGCTACCTGGGAAGCTACTTATGAATAGCCCATAAATAACCTATAAATGAATCATAAATGAACCATAAATGAACCATAAATGAACTATAAATAACCTATAAATGAACCATAAATCAACCATAAATGACCCATAAATGACCCTATAAAATGGATTGTATGAATATAGAGATGAATATAGAGGATCATGTATCTGAAAGAGTGCGCCGACACATCCGTCGTATGATAGCGAACGATACGAACCGAATGGAATCAAGAAGTTTTTGTCGCTTTCAGATCGGCAGTGGTTAGCAAAAAAATCTAAGAAGCGTTCGAACGACGCGCGCAAGGGAAGGGGGGGCGATGCGGGCGGAGATCGGGAGGAAGGGAAGGTGCTGTCCTTCGACGCCGTCCTTCGGCGCCGTCCTTCGACGCCGTCCTTCGGCACCGTCCTTCGACGCTGTCCTTCGACGTCGAGATTGACGAGACGTCTGAAATATGTAAAGCTATGTATTAATAATTCGTATCGAGATACGCAAAAGGAAAGAACGGCGCGTTATACGAAAAGAGATCCATACCTCGGTTAAAATCCGCTGTCGTCCGTGCGGACGGAGCTCGTTTCCTCGATCGAGCTCACGTCATCGTACCATATCTCCACAGGAGAATCGTCGTCGCAGAAATGTTCGGTTTTAAACGTATGATCCGAGACGAGCGGCTCCATACCGAATAATCTTCTTAGCCGAAATATGTCGGCGTAGATATTAGGGGAGCGCTTCTCCCATTTTCTATAGGACGGCCGGTCACACCATATCGAGTTTAAAAATCAACGTTGCTTCAGTCTCGTCTGTCGTATCCAATGTCGGCGACGTATGTTCACAAATCCTCGGATCTCCACCTCCTTCTCGAACTGTGAAAAATATCGCGCGATCAGTGTACGTCGTATTTTTCCTCGAAGGAGAGCGAAAGAATAAAGAACGATGATGAACAGGTACTTACGTTCCACGTTACCGCTATATTGAGGATCGCATCCATGAGATTTCTGATGTACTTTATCTTCCAGACGCACATCCACGGCGTGAACGTGCATTCGTGGAGCATCCTCCGCAATCTCGAAATTTCATCGTTGTTGCTCATCGTCGTTCGCGCGAAAGAATAACTCCGAGAATGAATGAATGAATGAATGAATAAATACTGGACATACTAGGAACACTGGACGCACTGAGAACACTTGCAATATCAGACGCACTCAATAACGCGATCGCGAGACTCATTCTGAGGAAAAACGGTCTCTCGGCGTTAATTTATACCTACGATATTACTATCGCCGGGTCGTTATGATTCCGTTGAATGTTAATGCGATAATCTAAGGCGATATGAAAAAATCGCGCGATATCGCTATCGCCGAGTCATTATGATTCCGTCGAATGCTAATGCTAATGCTATAATTTAAGACGGTATGAAAAAATCGTGCGATGCGGAAATATAACGAGGTAATTTAATGAGGCGCGATAAATTCTCGATTGCTCCGGAGGAAGTGCCGGAAAATGCGTTTAACCGCGTACGCGCGATACGAGTTAACGTTTATTCGCTAATTAATATTATTTTAATATTATTTTAATATTATTTTAATATTATTTTAATATTATTTTTTTCTTAATATTAATATTATTTTTCTTAGTATTAATAGTATCTTTCTAAGTATTAATAATACTTTTTTAGGTAGGCGATAAGTCGACGCGCGCGAGATAAAAAAGTTAGTCGTCGATAAGAGTACGCGCAAAACCAATCTACGATGCGGAAAACGCGCGAGGCGCGCGAATCATCGCGCGACGCGTCTCTGTTCATATGTCGCGCAATTGATCGCGTCTCTCCAACCACCAGTTGTGCAGTTTGCACACGTTTTCCAAGGCGCAATTCTTCGAGTGATAGCCGCAGCGATAGACGCGAGTCGCGGCTAGCGTTCGAAGGGGTCTGATATCCTCGTAATCGGCGTCGATGGTCTCGATCGTCAGGTCGAGCTGCTCCGCGACCTCTCCCGCGATGTCGGCCAGCCACTTCTTCTTCTCGCGACCCTTGACGTAGATCGTCACCGCGGCGTTCGACTCGAGATCCCTCGACGCGCGATATATCGCCTCGCGAACGATCTGATTCGCGTGCCTATACTCCACGTGTCCGTCAGTCCAGTGAAATTCGTGGTGATTAAGAGTCAACCAACAGGCTTGCGACTTCTCGCTCTTCGTCAGCAGATTCCACGACATCGGCGCGCGAAAGACGTGATGCGTCAGATCTCTGCCGTTCGCGAGTATCGCCATCTCCTTCGTCACGAATCGCTCGTTGACGACGAAGCCCTGCAGATCGACGAAGATCGGCGGGGCGATATCGCCCGTGACCGTCGTCGCGGTCATCGTCGCGAGAGACTGACATTTATTCTCGTCTCTCCCCGATATCTTCGCGATTTCGAGTTTCCTCTCTTCCTCCATTCGACGCGCCGTCTTACAAGATCTTACGCACGACGTTCGTCAGCGGATTGTACTCCACCACGCGATCGTGAATGATTAGGCAGTACGCCATGGTGTTAGAAGGAACGTTGTCCTTGCAGTCGAATTCTAGACGAACGTCCACAGTGGCGCTCTTAATCGCTTCGTTTTGGCGGGAACAATCTATTACCACTAGCGGGCCGCAGTATAGAAATTTGTTCATAGTCAGGAGCGTCTCGTCGCTCGCGGATCCGTAATACGTTCGTCGAAATCTCGCATAGGCGTCGTACAGTACGGCGATCTTGTTCTTATCGAAGTCCAAATTCATATCGTCGTACGGATAGAAGTCGAAATTGAGATACAACTTTACGTTGGTCAGATTGCACACGTCGAATCTGGAAGCGTCCTGCGACAGGACGTTCTTCCTTCCGGTCTGCAACGCGAAGATGACGTAACGCGGTTTCTCGAGCTGCGTGGCCGCTTTTACGGCCCACGAGTGTTTGGTCGTGCTCTGCAGGAGCGGAAACTCGTAGAGATCCCACGAGCGAAAGGGCGCGCTCAGATATCTGCCGCTGTCCAACGTGCGCAACAGCGATAATTTATTGACGTCATTCAGCACCACGTGCGGCACGCGCCACTATATCTTCGCGAGCTCGACTCTCGACTCGAATTCCTCGCGCGATATCAGACAATTGTTGTCGTTTCGCGCTCTTATCAGAATCAGCTCGTGACGCGCGTTGATGACGACGCGCCTGTAATCCTCGCAAAAACCTAGCAGCGTGTCGAGAGGAACGCAGAAGTTGAAGTCGCCCGTCGATGCGACGCCGCTCGGTCCAGTCGCGAGATTCCATCCGGCGTTCTTCAAAATCTTGCCTCGTTCAGCCGTCAGCGAGGCGTAGTTCTTGATCGTGCTAGTTATTCCGACGTTGCGATTACGATCGATCTCCACGCCATCGAGCTCGTAACGTATCTCCTCGAACATAAAGGCGATGCAATTGTTCACAAGCCACGCCGGCGTCGAGGACACGGACGGCTCCTTAGAAGCCGAGGCAGGCTTACCCGATTCGCCACTCGACGCGGGTGGCGGATTATTCTTCGCATGCAGTCTACCTTCGACGTAGAGAAAATTCTCGCACGGCAGCGTGTATAGGTCCTGCTGTTGTATGGGTATTCGTATCTCGTCGCTGTATCTGAAAGTGGTGTTGGCGTACGGATTGTACGTGTGACTCTCGATCTTCACGATGCGATCGTCGAAGACGGGTTCCCCGCCGATGCTCAGAATGTCCCTCATGTCGTCGAACTATCGCGCGGCTCTTGATACGACGAAACCCATGGATCGCAGAAAAGCGACGTTGGCGGCGGACAATCCCCGGACGCTCCTCTCTCTCGAGCGCGCGACTCGAGTTCCCGCGACGCGATCGCGGTCGCCGCCGCTGCCGCCGCGATGCGACGTCGCGACGCTAGATTCGCGCACGACGAGCATCGCCCCGTTCCCTCCTCCGTCCTCGCGTCTCGCCGCGCGCTCTCTATCGTCTGCGTCGCACGTGCAATCGAATCGAGATCTCCTCGCCGCGGAAATCGATCAATCGACCCTCCTGATCGATGACGCGCAGCGATACGTCGGTCACGAGTCGCGCGATGACCGGCAGATAAATGATCTGCCTCGGGATCTCCGACACTTTATATCCCGGCGGGACGTTCGGCGCGAATTCGTGTATCGCGTGGGCGGATCTCCCGTTCACGTACGCGCCCGTCGTCAGGTTGCACTCCATGCGAATCATGTTAACCGCGATAATGCTCACGGCTCGTCGGACGCGTACCATTTGTTCGGCCGCAATACGCGAGACTGGGAGAAACCTAATAACGATCCGATATTGTTCGGTTTGGTGAAATTAATTCAGTACGCGCATTTGATTTCGCTTCTCATAGTATTGTCGTTACCGCGTAGCGCGAGAACGCGATCGCCGCTCTCGTCCTACGCGTCCTCCACGTCGTACAGATATTCGTCGTCGTCGCCGTCGCTGGCGCCATCGCCGCAGTCTCTCCCTCCGGTACTCGCGCTCGGCGGTCGTCGCCGTCTTCGAAGAATCGCGGCTCTCAGGTACGCGCTTATATCGCGCAGCTCGTAGGATCCGATCGGGATCGCGGTCTCGTCGTTGTCGTCGAAGTAAAATTTATTGTTCGAGGAATTCACGTTCGGAATCGTGTTGTAGGTCTCGAAATTGGTCAAGCCGAGCTCGTAATCATCGTCGCTCAGATCGAGAGGCGGAAAGTAACTCGCCGTGAGAACGTTGCTTCTTCCGGTCATCGTGAGAATCAGCGACATGATGACACGCGCTATCGCCGTTAGAGACCGAAGGGCTTCCTCCTTCTTCGTCCCCAATCGACTAGTCGAAGAAAGCGCAGGCACAATTGTCCGCAGACGCTCTGATCGTTCGTCTGCTGAGAGTCGCGATTGTACGCGATGCGCGTGTCGCGTCCGAGATAACGCGCGAGTTCTCGAGGCGGCCAAAGATTGCCGAAAGCGTCGAAGTAGATAGCGTCTTTTCCCCTTTTAGTGTACGCCACCCAATGCGTGCCCGGCCCCGAGGCGTCGTCCAGGTTCACGATACCACTCTCGTCGCGACGAACTCGCGCCGGCAACGCGTCGCGCATGAACACATCTCTGAAGTGACGCACGCGAGCGCGCTTGGCCGCGCTATTCAACTGTTCGTTCGTCGTGACGCCGATCGGAGCTACGACGTCGTCTAACGCGCACGAAGGCGCAATTTTTTTTTTTTCCTCCCCCTTCTAACCGTTCGTCCGCCTCGTCTCGCGATGCTTCCGCCACGCTTGTAAGGCGCGAGATACAAACCGCGGCCCTCCATCGCTCGATTGTGTCGCTGCAGCTCCTCCAATTGTCGACGCGCGGCCTTACCGTCGTTCACCATCTTCGCCACGCTGGCCGCTCCGCCGATCAGCGATCCTAAAGCTCCGAGCGCCGGTAACAGCGGCAGGAAGCCGCCGCGTTTCGCCGCGGGAAGAACCCGTCCTCTCGTCGTCCTCCTCCTCGTCGAGGTCGTTCTTCTCTTGCCACCGCCGCCGCCGCTCTTTCTCGCACCTCTTCGCGCTCCAGCCATACCCATTCCTAGTTTCGTCTTCGCTTTCATAGCCGCCCATACGGCCGACGCCGCCACTCTCTCGCCGAGAGTCGAATCCCCGGCCCGGATACGCTCGAACGCTCTCGCTCCGAGCGCCCGATCCGCGACATGTCGATCGGCGAGATCGTCGCTCCGCGAATAGGCGATGTCGTGCTCGCGGCAAGCCGCGTCCAGCGGATTGACGCCTCGATCACCTCGCGCGAGCCGCTTCGCGAGACGAGTACCGGGACCGCAAAACTGATATCCCGGTATATGTAGTTCGAACGGAAGAGCGTTTATAGTTCTATTGAGCAAACCGCTACCGCCGACGACTGCCGTCGCGGCGTCCTCGGCGTATCTCATACGCCTCGATCGTCGACGCGCTCATCGTCACACCATTTCTTTCTCCCGGCACATGCCGCAGTCTTTGATGCACGGCGGCGGACCGTCGATGTGCATTCGTTACCACGGTTGATTGTGATGCTTGTGACAGAGGCGATAACGCTGCACGTCCGGATCGTCCTGCAGATGTATAGGCAATCTCTCCCACAATCGATCGACGAAATCGCCGTACTTGTCCAGCAGAAGCTTCTTCGGAACGTACTGCAACTGATCGACGCTGAGTCCGAGAATATCGTAATCGTTCACCAATAGAATAAACATGACGAAGCGTCGCGCGCGCGCGCGTAACTTTATCGCGTCACCGTCGATCGGACACGCCTAACTGCGCGATCGTTTTTTTTCCCTCTATATATGCGTTCGCGAGGGCGAATCCGCGCTCGTTGCTCGCGCGCGCGCGAGTCTGCGCACTGAGACACAGATTCGCTCGCAACAACGAGGAAGAATCGCAAGAGGAGAAAGAGAGAGAAAACGATGCGTTTCGTGCGTCAACCGATCGCGATAAGAGTGTCCAACGTCGACGGTAAGACGCGCTCGATGAACGAGGAACCGCGAAAACACGGAAATCTGTTACCGACCGCGATCCGCTGCGTAATCTGCGGTCCCTCTAATTGCGGTAAAACGAACGTGCTGATAAGCCTTCTGGAGAGCCCGCACGGCGTGCGATTCGAGAACGTGTACGTTTACTCGAAATCGTTGCATCAGCCTAAATATCGATATCTGGAGAAATTGTTGAAACTTATGCGGGATATCGGTTACTTCACGTATTCGATCAACGCCGACGTCATCCCGCCTAGCGAGGCGTCGCCTCGAACTCGATATTCGTGTTCGACGACGTGGCCTGCGACAAACAGGACGTCGTGAGAGAATACTTCGCCATGGGGCGTCACGCGAAGGTCGATTGCTTCTATCTGTGCCAATCGTACGCTAAGATACTCAAACATCTGATACGCGACAACGCGAATCTATTGATACTCTTTAAGCAGGATGGCACTAATCTGAAACACGTGCACAGCGATCACGTGAATACCGATATGTCGTACGAGAATTTTCACGCGCTGTATCGCGCGTGTTGGAAATACCGATACGGTTTTCTAGTGATCGACAAAGATAGCACGCTGCGCAACGGCAGATACAGGCGAGGGTTCAACGATTACGCCGTGCCGTAGAGCGCCGCGAACGTCGTCGTCGCCGAGGATGAGTCAGTCTTCCCGAGACGGCGGCGATCGTAGAGGGGAGAGAGATAAGAGAAGGCGAAACGTCGAGGAACGACGCGCGATGACGGACGTCGACAGACGCGAGAAAACCGCGATAGAGATAGCGAGAACGCGCGCGTCGATTCGCAGGAAGCACAGAGCGTTGAAGACCGGAAGGATGGAGAGCGATAGCGCTCTGGAGACGCGTTTCAAACCGATCGTCGAACCGTTGCGACGCATCGCCGAGCGCGTCGGAGACGATTCCGCGCGAGGCGCGAGCGCTAGAGAGAAGGAACCGGCGAAGAGCGAGATCGACGAGACGTTCGCGCGAGGCGTCAAGAGAATGATGGCGCCGGAGGAGGAGGAGAAGGACGATGAGGAAGAAGCCGAGGAGAGCGCGTTACCGCCGCTGTCCGCGAAAGGATTCAAAGTTATGATCTCGCCGTCTGAACGCGACGACTTTCACGCCTGTGGGAGCGTCGGACGCGTCTCCCGCGCAGCAGCGCGAATTCGCGAGCGGAGACCTCTTCGCGCAGCCGCCCGTCGAGGAGACGAGCGACGACGTCTTCGAATCGCCGGCGACGCTCGAAATGTCTGTGAGACGGTCTCTGCGGACTTCTCAAGGGCGAGACATCTTGCGCGATCAATTGGGTCCATTGGCGCGAAAATACGTGGGCGCTCTTCTCAGCGGCGGCGCGCCGAGCGATTTCGATCACATTTACGGAGCCTACTTCGCCGACGCCGGCACTATGCTCGGAAACAAGCGATTCGACATAGGTGCCGACGACGCGATATTCGTGGACGGAGTCAGATACGCCGGTACTCCCGGTCTGTACGAATTGATCTTCAAGAGAATTCCCGACGATTTCAAGTACACTGAGAGAGACAAAGCCGCGTACAGGAGCATACTTCTGCAAACTAACGCTCACAGACGCGAGCACAATATATTCGCATGCCCGTACTAGGAAACAAGGGATACAAGTACAAGCACGTCATAGCTCCGATCCTGCAGACGGACAGTCCGAGGAAGAGAATCGGCGGGCTATGCGCGCGACCCGCGACACCGTGGACTACGTTCACTGGGACGATCCGAACGAATTGGTGGATCGTCTCCGATTGCTGGACGCTTTTCATCAAGCCGGCAACAACGCTCACGACAACGAGATCCTGTCGATAATCGAGGAGCTCCGCGAGGCGGGCGAGATACTGAGACGATCGCGGCGACGCGCGCGCACGCTTCATTCGACGACGCGATGTTCGCGAGCAAGTTCGGAGTGTCGACGCGGTCGCGACGCGACGAGCGCCAGATTGCGCGCGAGCGTGGAATCTCTGCGAAATTATGTGCGCGATAACGCGCTGTGCCTGACCGTCTCCGACGTCTCTCCCTTCGCGTCGCATTACGACGCGCGGCGTCTCAAGATACGAGGAGTGGCCTGGCCGACCAAGAACGACGACGCGACGAACAAGAGTTACATCGAAAGCGTTATACACGCGTGAGAGCGAACGCGACGAATAATTACCAGCTTATCGCGAGCGTGAGAACGCGAGTGGATAACAACGCGGCCTCGTCGGCGAAG